TATATTTAGAATCATAGTCTGATAAATGTTGTCATCTGGAATAGTGACATCATCCCTGCTATAGTGCTTTTCAAATGCAAGAAAGGTGGAATGATGTGGGTCACTTCTGAACTTGGATGTAAACCCTCAGTTAAAGCACTGGAAAAATACCACAAACTGGCTGTGCTAAACGTGATTTCCCATGGGATTTGTGCTCAGAAGACACAGTTGCTGGCTGTCAGGCATCCACTTACGGCAAATATAAGAACAAAGCTAGTACTATGAGCACTATGTTCATTAAGCACAGTATACAGTTAGTTAATAAATGGAAAGATGCCACTTTTGTAAGCACATTTCCATTAGTTTGGGAAACACAAGTGCTCCGATCAGAAACATTTTTTTGAGATTTACACAGCTCTGCTGATCCATTGTTTTCCCTTAGAAAACTACAAGATGTGTAAATCACAAGAAGTGAACAGACAAAACTATGTAGGAGTTACCTGTTATTCAAGCACAGGAAATACAAGAGGAATACAATAATATGCTACGTAATATTCTGAAGTGCTATAAATTATTGGAAAAATATGTTAGCACCAGTCTGGAAAAATTTCTAAACTGAGACACTAGTTTTGCACAACAAGAGTGTTAGTTGGTAACTGGGGATAAAAGGGTATGTGTGCTGGCATGAAACCCTGGATAATAACAGAAAAGGCTACTTCCAGTACCTAACATGGAACCTGGGGAGAAGCTGGCTTTTAGGGACCTGCTAAAAATGTCTCTGTCAACAGCAGTTCATTCCATTAGTTGCTGTTATACATTTCCCACCTACATTTTGTGTCACAAGTTATGTGTCAGAACATAGGTTTCTATAATTCTGTTTCAGTTCCTTCTTTTGGAAAGCAAGGTACCTGGTTTTCATTAGAACTTTGCTGTGATGTGGTTAGAGCTCAAATCCATGGAAGCACCAGGGGACCTGATTGAGGCAAGTTCTCTACATGCCAAATACACACCAAAGCAGAAGGGCTGGAAGTGATAACACTTTCCATATTTTTAAATATTCTGAATAATATCTAAAATATATATTATCACATATACAATGTTATATTATATATAATACAATCCTATTGATTTTGCTATTCGGCAAGGATTATGAAGCATAGATTCAATTCCTTCCTCATCTTGAGGGGAATGAAACCTGTACTTGTTACCTCTATTTATCAGACTACAAAACAGCTTGGTGGGAGTAAAGAGCTGGATTATGGCCAGCCCTGGGTTGAATGTCAGTCTTCGCACAACTGAGTAACCTGGCAAGAAACAGAGCAAATAAAGAGGAGATAATCTGATAATCTAGTGGTCAGGACATTCATCTGGTTCTTCCAGGATTACATCTAAATCATAACTGCAACCCCCTGGTCTCCTCCTGTTCTTGGCTGAAGGCCCTAAACAAAAGACTAACTTGTGTTTCCTCTTGGTTGCTCTCCTGCAGTCCCATGACCACACAGAAGAACAGGTTCAGCCAAAGGAAAGAAGATACATCCCAATAGATAGGGGACTGCTGTCAAAGAAGTGCTCCTGCAGCTGGAAGCGGTGTCAGCACTTGAATATAACAGGCAACTAGATTGCAGAGAGTACAAGTTCAGACATATTTCCGTTCTCATTAATTACAACTGGCTAATTTTAACCAGGTACCTCCTCTGTGGTGTTTGTCTGGGGAGGATATTTCCTGGATATATGCAAATCTTCCTGTTGCCTGTAACCATGCCATTGAGATGTTTAATGGACACTTATGACACGTGAGACCCTGATTTTATGTCTCTACTAAAGTCTTACCAAATTTTTAAAATGGAAACCAGGCATCTTACGCAGAGATAAGAACTCCAGGAAAGGAATTCAAAAGTAGGCAATGTTATTTTAAAGCTAGGAATGCTTCAGTTTTGAAATGTAGATTTTGTTATTACAATTCTTCCTACCAGTTGGAAGTAAGCGCAAGCACATCTTTTTTTCTTTATGGATGAGTCATTAATTCAATCTATTAGACTGAAAAGGACTCTATATAGTTTCCTTCAAATTACAGGATGAAAAGACAGTTACTGACCACAGTATAATTGCATTGCTCTGTCTCCATTACTTAGCTATAAAAGGATATGTTCTAAGACACTTATCTCTTTGTTTCCAGAAAAGCTGTCTATCTTGAAATTCAGTATTAGGACAGGAAAGCCAGCAGAACGTGTAATTCAGAGGGCCATTTGTGTCAGGTTTGTTTGTGATACTGCCCTAAATCTGAACGACAGAGAATGAATGTGGCCTCCGTTCATATGACACAAGCTGAAAAGTTACGAGCATTAACACCTTTCCAGTCAGCTTCTTGAAACATGCAGCTACATTTGAAGTGGATGGCTCTTCTTGAAGTGGTTGTCCCTATATTTAATGCTGCATACCATGGCGCTTTATATCACATTCACCCCGTATATCACATTCACATGGCACAGCACAACCACTGAAGGAAAAATAGAGGAAAAAATACCAGAAGAGTAATAGATGGTGAACGTGCAGAGATAAGGCTTAAGGTGAGCAAATAGCTTATATTACCTATACCTTCATCCTCACTACCTTAATCTTGAAAGGAAGCGTATTCAAATTTAAAATAGATTGCGTATAAATTTTCACATTGAAGTGCTTTTCAGTAGGTGGCTTCCTATATTTAACAGCGTGGAATGAAACAGAATATTTATAAAGCATTACAAAATTGCCATTCATTGGTAAACTTGTCTCAGCCCCTTCACAACAGAACACTGACGTTTACACTGACGTCTAAGGTTATCCTTGAAAATAACCTTTTACCAGTATAAGCCTTGTAAATTGCTCTTCTTTGTTTATATCTTAACTTGGCAACTGCATTGCAGACAAATGCGTTTGCTCCTCGGTCCTCCCCAGAAGCCCTCCCCAGAATCATTGCCATCTCTGCTTTCACACTTGACACTGATTACGGGTGCTAAAGACAGCAAAAAAAATTAATTTAGAGGAATGAGGTATTTTGAACTGCTTTGAGTAAGCTTCAGGGGCCAGCCAGGAATGTATTCATTGCACAGCTTCACGCCCCGATATTCAGCATTTTTCTTGGGGTTACATTAACTCGGTTTCTAGCACAGCTGTGATATCTAGCAGCTTTAGATTGATGTGAGATCTTAGTGCTTAGTGACATGGTTTAGTGATTTATTTTTTTTTATCAGAGTTAGGTTGATGGTTGTACTAGATGATCTTAAAGGTCCCTTCCAACCTAGACAATTCTATGATTCCATAATTCTATGATTAACATCAGTCACAACTATCAGTGTTAGTGTGCCCATATAGGTACTGCCTTGACATTATAGTAACTATTAACTTCTGTAAATTCTGGAATAATCTGTACTTCCCACTATTTTAAGTTAATTGAAGACAGAACTGAATGGGATTTTAACTGTTGTACTCGAGCTCTGGTAACACTAGGCAACATCCTAGATTGAAACATGTGCTTATAGTTGACATGGTAAAAATGATAAAGAGATAAGCCACGAGGTAAAGTCATCCATGCAGGAGAACTTTACAAACCCTTTGAATTAATCTCAATATTTTGCTTCAGATTATGTTCTATTTCAAAAAACAGATGAAAAATTTATAGTAACAATAGTTGGATGTAGTATGAAACCGTGTAATTGTTTTTAAACAAAGTACAGATAAGAACACAAAATGTAACGTAGCATAATGGCTGTAGGATAAAACTCTTAGCTTTAAGCTTATTAAAATATTATTAATTGATGATGCATTTGAAGCAAAGTAACAACCACAAAAATAATTGATACGTATCCAATTAAAATTTGCAGAGAACTTCTTAGCTTTGGAATTACAAAACTTGATGTCCTACTTTATCAAAATTGAGATAATCATGGGAAATGACTAATTTACAACACAATGAATCTACTCTCTCCAAAACCAGACAATGTTCACCACAATGCACAATCTTACATATTGGTCGAAATCTGTCACATACAAATTCTACCATAGCAGAAGAAACACATTTTTGAAAGTGGAGACCAACATGTAAAAACTTGAGATCATTCTGTCTTCAAATGCAAGCACAAGGTATTTTACTGTGATTAAATTTTAAGTATAAAGGAGAAAATTAAAAGAAGTATCTTAATAGTCTCCCTCTCATTTGCCATTTTCAATTTGAAAATTCAGTCACCAAGATAACAGACAGTGTTCTTGAAAGCTTTAATCATCTTCTGCTACTCTCTAATAGTTCTCCCCATTGGAAAAGAAACACTAAGAAGAGAAATTATGACAGAACATAGCAGACTGCCAAGGTATGAAAGAAGTATAATTGTTAAAGAGATCCTCTTTCATTTCAAATCTTTCTTTGAACTGGCTTATAAAATGAAACATAACATGTTCATGAACAGAAAGTAGATTGAGTTTATTACCTCATCATAACCATCATATAATTTTGGATTTCCAAAATTATGTAGAATAATGCACAAAGAAATTCTATCCCAGAGTTAAGGAGCTCTGAAACATATAAGGGACTTTATAATGATGTTCTCACCCCAAACTGCTTTTTATTTATACTGAGCTTTGCACATTTCCAAATTTTTCTTATTAGTCTGTTTCCTCACATGATACTAATTTCTAAAAATCTTGACTAAGAACAGGTCAATGACCTACTGCAGACAAGCAACTTCCATTACAGAAAAAATCATACTTAAATGTTTCAAAATTGAAAAATATAAATTTACAGAAAAACCTTCCATAGTATCTTATGTGGCTTTAAATATTAACCATCAGCAATAAATCATTCATAATCTATTTCAAAATTGCAGAGCAATGTATAATTTTCCTTCAAAACAATAATTTGTCACATAAAATAGAAACCCCAATAGTAATTTTGTAAACGCTTACAAAAATCCCTTGTTCAGTAAAATGTTAATACCTACAGTAAATAGCATTTATTTATCAGATTTATGATTTTATGTATAAATTCTTACCTAAGCTGTTTAAAAGCTTCTGCCTTCACAAGTGGTGTTTCTACAGAGTGTTCAAAAAGCGCTCCTTCAGGCCCTGAAAAACAAAGAAAAATACCATATTGTAAAATTTCAAGTGTAAAAAAAATAGCAACAGTGATTTATATGGCCACTTTGATACCAGAAATTAAGATAGAAATCATATATTAACAATTAATGAGGCAATTAAATTATAGATACAGTCCTACTACTGCACTATTAATTGGAACAACACAACACACAGGTAATGTAAAAATACAGGTGTAATTTCTAAAAATGAAATCTAAAAAGTCTCAAGATAGAGAAATTTTAAACTACTTGAGACACCAAGATAATTAAATAAGGTTTTTATAATGTAACTTCCATTACAATTCATAAAGATAATTAAAATCCCACAAAACCTTTGCAAATATAACAGATTTGAAGAATAATATTTTTTTTTAGACTATTCTATACCTAGGACAAATTCTGGCATGTAGCTTTGTCAAAAATTTGCCCCTATTTTTAGGCAGACTTGCTGAATATAAAATGGCATTTATGCACGTAGAATGGTAGTAACTATGAGATCAGATAGTTCCCCAATGGGGAAGAAGCAGTGTGGTGGTACCTATGTAGGTGGGGCAAAGCAAGTCATCAGTAGGAAAGGATTATTCGTATTGCATAGTGCGATTATTTCCTGAAAATAAGAGTCCATGGCTTTGTGTCACAAGTCGTTATTTTAATTTTTCTTTGTAGTCCCTCTACTTTTAACCTTGCACTTTCTTCTTTGCATCTAGTGTTTTCACTCTTGCAATGTACTCTTTCTGGGTGGTTCTAAGTTATTTGTGTGAGAAATACTACAATAATAAAGAGTTTTCAAGACTGGAGTTCATAGCAGGGAGTACAGCGTGCAATGGATGCTGGTCCTCCTCTGAGAATTTATAGTATGAAATAGAAGCAAATCTGAATGCTAAGAGGATAAATCCAAATAAAGATTTACATGAATTTTTGGTCCTGGACATTTAACATATTTAGGAATGCAGATTGCCTACAAAAGCACAACAGCCAATTTGCAACCGAGGTCCTAGGTGCTGAGGTTCAAGAGAGCAATTAAATTGTAAAAAAAATTATGGTCAGGCAGTTAATGACATACCTAAATATTGCATGTTCACACTGCCAGCTTCTACTCAACATCACTCCTTAGTTCCCCTCCAAACAAAGGTGCTGGTAGAAGTAGCTAAGTCTTGCAGCATAATGTGAGGATGATGAGTATCTGGCTAGATGGTAGGAAACTTGGTTTGGAAGCCCTCTTCACCATGAGTGTGAATACTGACTTGATAAATGCACCTACTGCACTGAACCAGGCAGCAGATGAAGTAAATCGTTGGTGTAACATTTCTCCCTCCTTCAGAGCCTCCTTGTTCAGTGTGAGCAGAGCTGCTCTACAGAGGGGGCCTCAGCCCTCCACAGGCAGGCCTCATGTAAGCACCCTACTCTGCACCTTCCTATTTTCAACACTGAAGACATACCCTATCAAAAGAACTGCAAGCTCCAAACTGTCCCCACAATAGGGAGGCACCCAACCTCCCCAGGAGCCTCCCTGTCAGACCTGAAAGTTCTCCAAGCACCTTAATTTCTGTTCTCCTGAGCACTTGTGTCATTGCAGTATCACCAGCTCAGCAGCCATTTCCTGTGTGAGCTTCACTGGGATTAGGGAACTAGCTGAAGTTATACAAAAGCCCCTGTCATGACTTGAGATAGCTCAAAAAAGCAGCAAAACACCACCAGCTGCAGCAAGGGTGCAGTCTCTCACCTTCTGTCCACTGGCTTTGTGAAGGTACTAATCTGAAACTGAGGGAGGCCTGAGGTTGAGTGAATCCTTAGAGGATTCACATCTCTAAGCACTTTTCAGGTAAATATGTAGTAGGGCAATACATTTTAATAGCTAGGATATTACACAACGTGGCTTTTCTGGCTGCTCTTTGAATTAAAACAGAATGCAGTTACCCTCAGGAAAGGCTGTAGAAAGCCCTAAGTCAGGACTTTGGACTCCCACCTAGAGAAACAAACTCTTAAGAGCCTGCTTGAACAGTAGGCTGGTGAACGTGCATGCATGCACATGCATGCTCATTTAAATATTAATATTATCATTGTTAGCATATTAAATGCAAATACACATGCAAGCAAAAGGAAACTGTTTTTTTTTTCCTAAGTTCTGCCGGGAAGACCTGATGAGATTGGGATGAAAAAGTTAAAGTACACGTAGAATCAGGCAGAAGGGAGGAAAGACAAGGGGAAATGGATGATTAGGAAGTATGGTATAGATAGTATAGATGCAGTATTAGATGTGGTATAAAAAGAAACGCAAAATAAAAAATAGTGGGGGCAACAACAGAGCGGATGGTAAAAGGGAAAAAAAGTCAAACCAAGAGATACCATTAAAAATTAATACATCACGGAGCCAACTGATAGGAAGACTTGTCACTTCGTAAGTGCTGGGGATAAATTCTCAGGATATCCTAAGAAAACATAAATCGTGCTGGTTTCTGAGAAGGGCTGCAGCTGAAATCACAGTTCCTTAGAATGGAATTCCCTTAGCTTGGATGGAAGAGAAGGGCACAAAATAAACAAATCGCCATACTGAATCACTTCACCACTTCAAGGAAGCATGGATTTCTAAGCTTCTATTTAAATTTTGTTTAGCTGTTGATATCCTCATCGTCAGTTTAAATAGATGAGTCTTTCTGGAACCTGCTAGCTGCCATGAATATAATACTGGAAAACACAAAATCCATTAACTCAGACAGGATTTTAATCCTTCTTTATTAGCATGAAGATTATTTTGCAAGATAAAACCCGATGGCTTAGTTTATTCTCCTGTTCTTGTATTTGTGCTGGAGGGTGTTACAAGGTGGCAACCTTACACACTGGAGATGATGAAAAAAAAACCCTAAGGAATTAAATAATTTGAAAATGCTGATTTAGTACAACTAGGATATTTTGCAGCGATATGCTGATCTGTCAAAATTTCTGACTTAAGTTTTGTTGCCAGCTAGGGATGGCAATGAATTCAAGTTTTTCTCAAATGCGATTCTTCTGACACTGTGGTCTTTTGAGAATACATCATGATGCCTCACTGTCCTTCATTCCACTATGTCCTACCTGACAATTCTTAGGAAAGCAAGCATTTCACTGTTTTCCTGGCTCAGACTTTCATCTTGGATTACAGTGAATGAGTTGTAATTTCAGTGAAATATATACTGTCACTATGCTAGCTGTGCTAACAAAACACTTGTCAGTAACTTTGAATGAGCTCCAAATACATGATTCATCAGGGGAGACAGCTTGATCTTAATGTCTTCCGGTAGTTCTGGGAAGCCTTTAGGTACATCTATGTGAGGAGATAATGTGACCTGAAAAGGGTGGATTTATAGAGTGATACACTTGGTGCTGAAGATCTGCTGCTCAGATTTAGGGGATTTTACTTTGGACCAACTCCGGCCTCATCCTGTGGACTTAAAACATATTTGCTATTTTGATGAAGTAAATGCATTCATGAAGCCCATTTCTCAGTTCGGTTTCATCCAAAAGGAATCCACTGCATTCACTCCCTGACTCCTCCATGGTATAAATCACTGGGATGTGAGAACCGTCAGAACCGTCAGTTCTGCAGTGAAAGTGCAGTCCTGACAGAAAAAAATGCTGTTGTGGATGCATATTTTGGCTTGATGACCTTGGAAGGCATTTTTAAAATTTCCTTTATTTTCCCGCTCATTTTTCTTACTCATGCACACACCTACTACGCCAACATAGGTTCTACGGTGTGCTCTTCCACTCAGGTATAGTTTGGAATCCACTTCCTTTTCCATCAGACAGTTGTTAAAAATTTTCAGCAATTTTCAGTACCAGCTTAAGTGTACTGTATCATAGGATGAGGTATAATGAAGACACAAGTGAATTCCCACTCTTAAATGAGCTGCATAGCTTCTTACAATGCCAATTGCATGAAACTGCATAGTTCCAAATTTCATGTCTTGCTACACTACTACACATCCTTACATACAATGGCCACAGTGGCAGAATTCAACGTTGTGCCAATTTCTTGATATCTAAATAATAGTGTCACATAGTGAGGACCTTGACGCAGTTTCTGCATACAAGATCCCTTTCCATCTTGTTTTAAGGTCTGTAGGGAAAGCTGAGCATTTGATAACACTGCTATTCTGGAGAGAAAGACCTATCAGTTGTCACCTGGCTTCTTCCCATTATCTGAAGAAGGTCTCATCGGCTTCCTCCCCATCAGGTGACCTGCAGTACCCACTCCTCATCCCTGCCAAGGCTGAGCACCAGGCCTTCCTGCTGTTCTGCCACATAAAGGGCAACTCTTCCCCCTCACCTCTCCAACCTGTTCTTGAAGAGCCTCTATTCCAGTGAAGTGTTTTGAGTGGCACAGTCATAAAGCGCTTTAACTGTTTGCATCTTAAAGTGTGTCATTACTGCAGATACAGTCCTCGGATTGAAAGCACTGAAACAGCCAGCGCATGCTGGAGCAGCTACATGGAACCTAATGGTATGACACGGTTTTACAGCTATTAAAAATCGAGTCTTATGATTGCATTTTTATGAACTTTTCCTGTTACACGCATGTGTAAAAAAAAATAAAATTATTATTTAGTCCACTTGCTATAAGTCATATAGTTACAATTATTAAAAAGATTAGGGAAGGAAATCATCACTTCCATTAATATTTTGCAAAAGTAACATTAATGGCTATTCACAGAATCATGAAATGGCACACCTAGCTATCAGAGTAATAATCAGAGTAATAAAAGTTAAGTGGAGCCTAGTGGTTTAACTACATGAACACAGTGTACCATCCACTACCACTGACAAAATAATAAATAATGACTTCAAAAGGAAAAGATGTGTCTCTCAAACTCAGCTGATGAGTTCTGTCTCCACATTAGACATCACCCTCATGGGTAGGCTCTGAAAAGCTCTACTCTGGGCTCTGCCTGATTTTCATCTTCAGAAATCCATACAATCACTATACCTCATCATTATTGATTTTTAGTTCCA